ATGCCCACGGGGCATGGCGGGGCCCGGAGGGGCTGGTGTTTCAAGGGTGGTGTTATTATGCTGTCCTTTTCTCTCAACTGTGATGCAGTCACCTGCCGTAAGAATTATTGGAATGATCTGCCCAAATCGTTCGTACAAATTCATTTGCCATTTACGGAGAAGCACTGCGCAACCAGGACCAAATGTGTCCTACCTATGAAGGTGACCTTTAATGACGTTTGCCAACGCAGCCAGTGCTCTCTTAAGCACCCTTATTGACAGCATTTTCTCTTGGTAGTGAGAATGGCGATGCTTTTAGAAATAATGCAGTTTTTTTAACAGAGTTTAGTCAAATCGCTACAGTTAAACATAAGAGCTAGATGCAGATTGCTTCGCTGTTCAATTATTTTAAGATTATTGTTCCTCAGATTTAGTGAAGTATGTGAAGTATGCATAAGTACTTTTTGGGATAGCTAATTGAAGCGATAAAACGGGAAACTGCTATTATATTTGAAAATGCTATCCATTATCGCCCTAGTCCCCGATCTGCTATTCTTACTCACTGACAGCGGCAGCAAATAGTTTAGTGCCGTTCACTCCAGCTTATGGGAATTTTATTGTTCCACCAACCTGTATAGTTTCGTCGCGCCTAAAATATCTTAAAGTAGCAATTTACAACACACAGCTTACTCCGAACGTTCCCAACCTCTTCAGGTGCCTCTCATCGCCTGCACTTTCAAATAAACGTACTCGACGTTAACGACGAACCACCTAGATTCAAACCGCCTTGGCCAAATTATCCGGATGCCCAGGCAAAGGCAGTCCTTGTGAATGAGATCTCTACACCACCGGGAACTCGAGTCTTTAGTGCCGAGGCAACCGACGCCGACGCCACTGCTGATCTCGTGTACTCCTGGTCACCTGGCCGCGAGGTGGATACTGAGGGTCGATTCTACATTTCACCAACCGCCGTGAGTACTGAGATCTTGCTTGTTAATAGTTTCTATAGTATGCAGCATCTCCTAGGAATTATTTTAATGGATTTTAAAACTCCTCGCTCTCTGTCATCATACATATACCTGGGCTGACATACCCCCTCCAAGCACAAGGTCCCCCTGATCGTTGCCTTTAATAAGTCCAGTCTTGACTGATTTATTTGGATTACGCTTCAAAGCAAACACTTAGTTCATTATTAATTGTGTCTGCCGTGTAATGGGTCTACTTGGAACGCCCAAGTGATGTTCTCAACTTCGGATGGGCGTGAAGTTGTCATATGTTTGCTTTTAATGCAGCAAGGCCAGATTTCGTTTTGATTCAAAATGTCAATACAAAGGTTAACGAGACGATTCCATTCACGGTCAATAGTTAAAATACGTTGCTAGAAAAGTCAGATAACACTTGTCAGTAAGTTTTAGCGCTTCTGTGTTAACGGCCGTTGTGGTGCCGTTGTTGGTTGCTGTGAGTCCTCAGGTTTTAAAAAAATTACAAATCTTTTCATTTTTGTTAACTGTGCCTTTGTTACCTAAGAACCGCCTATTTATGGTAGATCTATACTTTCTTTGAAGTTTTGTGAGCTAACATTTCTCGTCGTAGTAATCTCTAGGAATCTCACCTGCACTATCTTAGCCTTCGTACTTTGGCCTGTGTTTGTATCAGTCTTCTTTTTTGTTAAACTGATTCTCCTAAAGGTGTCAAATTTAGACTTTACGAACACCAAACCTATCTGCTAAATGATGACCCGAATTTCCTAAGGCACGGTGTTAGAAAGATCTCATCAAAGTCTGATTAATAAGTAATGGAACAAGAGCATTACATATATAATTCTTGGCGTTGGTATGTTCTTGTCCGTATAAAAAATCATTAAGAAAGCATATCAGATATTAGGCTAGGAGATTTTACATTGAACTGCAATAAGCACTACCTAAAATTATCTCTGAAAAAAGTGCTCTGGAACAGAACGCTTGCGAAAATTATCACGATGTGTAAGTGCGTGCACTATCGTTGAACTTGAATGTCGAGAGATTAGAATTACCGAAAAAAACATGTGTGCGTGTTTTTAAGCACAACAGGTTATAATCACACTTTTATAGAATTTCCATTTCTTTAAACTGGAGCCATTATCTTTAGTCGACCAAACTCGGAGCATCATATTTCCGTAGATATACTAGCGGTTGTTTTGTTTGTGAGGTACCTCTGTAAAAGAAGACGTGCTGTGGAGAATTTTACAATTACCCGTCCTAAATCCCAGCAAGTGGGATCCAGAATGTGAATGGATACAATAAAATCTGAAACTGTGGATGTAGGCTGGCGTTTTTTGAAGTTTTGCTGGCTATTTCCTCTTTAACACACTACACCAGATGCATATTTATATGTCCTAATGATTTCATTTTTTGGTGCACTAAGGTATAATATATATTTTTTTCCAATCTAGAGTACTTTGTAATGTTATTATACGCCAGGCTTTGCGCAGTGGACAAATTTACAAAAAGATTGGGCCAATTACATTCCATCTGTAAAATGTAGCTGAATTTTTAAATATGTCAACTTATCAAGACATTCTGCCTGCACTGCTCACGTTCCACATAATATACATAAACTCTTCTCCTAGATAACTGAAATATGTAAACCCACATTCAAATAATTTATGCAATAGGCCGCACTAGAAAGCGGATTTTTAATGAGAACGCAAAAAATATATATGGTGTTATAAACCTTGCTGCATCCTCACGGGTAGCATAAGGAGGTTATTTTTAAAACCACTGCGTAATCAAGTACGTCCAAAGTACGTGGAAATTGGTAAGGAGTTCTATCCTTATTCATGCTTAGTTTTTCGATTTTAATTGCACTATCCGAGACAGAAGTATAATTTGACTTAACCATTTTTTTAAAATAATTTACACCAAATGCTCCTTCTGTGGTGGGTTTTTAGTGGTTTATTTTTAAGAAATATGTTCTATAAATACCCTGATATTACAGCATTTCTTCGGACCCGTAACGTTCCACCTTAACAATAATAGGCAGCATAGTTTTAACGCGAGACTTTGTTTCCAAAAATCAACCCTCGTTCCTAAATCATTCGGCATATTATAGTGTTACTGAAAATAACTTTCTCCCATCAAATTCTAGGATTCCACAAATCTCGCGATGTCCCGCAACAGGAATATTTAGTGTATGAAGTAATTTAAAACCACCATAGGACCCAATACTTTGTGAAAGTTCGTGATAGGCAAACAGCTAATTTGATCCCAGAATTTTTTTCAGTTAGTTTTCTTTTACAATTACTTCTAATGTATGTCTGCAACAACATAAAATTTCCTACCAAAACGGCCCCTTCACGTAGCAATAGCCAATAGCGGCCAATAGCCAATACGGCGTAACAATCAGTTTCAAACTGCATATAACCTGTGTAACCTAAAATGAACCCGTACATTTTTTCCCTGGGCAGATAGTATTGCCAGCAAGAACGAGGGGGACTGGAACGGTCATTTATGGCTTATTAGCCCTCGTCAGACAGTCATACCCAGACCTAAATGGTGTTCCACCCGAACCTCGAACTCGCGACCTTTTTATCAGAGTCCAACGCCCTAACCATTGAGCCACGAGCTGGATGTCTAACCGATTTATATCAGGGGATATTGACACTCGTCGATGAACGTCAACCTGACCATTTGCGGGACTCATCTGTCCCTCTGCTATTCTGCTCCTTGAAGTAAATTAAAATTATACTTCCTGTTATCCACTAACAGGAGTTCCATGTTGTATGTACATAATTTAACTGTTCGTGCCATCTGTCTTGCTTGGAGTCCTCAGATTGGCAGCACATTCCAGTGCAACTGAAGGCTCATAACAGAACGCAAACAGTACATCCCCTGAAGATACCAGACTCACCTGCTCTGACTGTAAGTTATCAATAAGTCCCAGCCGCTACATCCGACAGGCTGGAAGGGCGCACATTATAATTCTACCCACTGTGTAGATTAAATTCCACGTTTTCGTTCCTGTAACCGCACATCCCAAGAACGTCTCGGCCCACTTGGTCATCTGTGAGTTTATTGCGCCCTTTCAAGGCAGGCAGAAAGTGCAGAGGGAAGCTCCGTTCAACGGGCGTCACACAATTCTCCCCTTCCCGCGTCTACACTCCGCTTGCACTGCACGGGATTACTTTGGTACGTGTGCATGCGTGACTGTGAGCATCACGAAACCGCCCAAGGTCCCTGCACGTTCAGTGGCACTGTAGACCCCTTCAGTGGCGTG